CAGCGTCCTCCCCTTCCCAGACCTGCTGAGCCGGACCACAGCCCTGGACGGGGCCCGCACAGACATGGTGTGCAGGTTTCTGGTGCAGCTCAACATGGACTTCAGCTCTTACTATAACCGGGTGCATGTCCTGGGGGAGCCTTGATCACACCTGTTTGGTCAGATGTTGGCCCGGCTGCAACTCCTGCGGGCTGTGCAGGAAGTGCTCCACAGGTGCCTGGCCACGCTGGGCCTCTCCCCACTGAGCTGCCTCTGAGGCCTCACACGTGCCGGTGCCTGGTGTTCACTGGTAGTCACCACCTGAGACCTCGTTGGCTGGCGATGTGGAGACTAATAAACCTACCAAGCCCTGTTCTGTGAAAATAAATAAATAATAAATAAATAGATAAAAAATTTGGCTCTCAAAAGAAATTTCAATCATTGTACTGTTGATATTTGGCTGTTGACTAATGAGTTTGCTGACCACTGGTCTAGGTCATCAAAGGCATGGGAAGTCCAAGAAACTGGCGTAGCTAAGAATTGCCTAAGGAGACCTGATGAGCACATGTAATGTCATATCCTGGATAGGATCCCAGAACAGAAAAAACATTAGGTACAAACTAGTGAGATCCGAATAAAAGATGGTATTAGGTAATAGTATTATACCAATGGTTGTTTCTTGATGTGAAAAAGGTACATTAATGTTACAATAGGGCGAAGTGGTGCTGGTGATGTGAACTCCTTGAAAACTTTTGTGAAAATCTAAAACAATTCTAAAAAAATTATTTAAATGAAGAAAACATAATCTGCAATACTTTCAACAATAAAAATACATTTTAAAAAAACAATGTGCTTGCGTGCAATATGGGATTCTGGAGTGGATTTCAGAACTGAAAAAGGACACTATTGGAAAAACTGGTGCAATGTGAATAAAGTCTGGAGTTTACTTAGTAGTAATGTACTAGTGTTGGTTTCTTAGTTTGATGAACATACCATGGTAATGTAAGATATTAACATTAGTGAAAACTGGGTGAGGAGTATGTGGTAATTCTATATTGTCTTTGCAATTTTTCTGTAAATCTAGTTATTTCAAAGTTAAGAAAAAATAAAAAAATATCTTTATTGTTGAAAGTATTACAAAGTGCCTCCCATTCCCCCCATTAATCCCTTATATCCCACTCCACCCCTCACCCCTGCCTTCCCTCTGAGATTCCTCAGTTTGTTCCATGGTTCTATGTCTCTAGATTTATTTTGTTCTTTAGATTCCACATGACTGAGATCATGTGATAATTGTTTTTCTCTGATTGGCTTATTTCACTTAGCATAATGCTCTTCAGGTTTATTTTTAAACATGTAATGGAAGGTAGCTGGATGTACAAGCTACTTGGACCACCCCAGATAACCTACATGATGGCATTTGGTTTGTTTGGAACTCTGCAGTGGCTCTCACCCCTCATCTTAATACCATCCCCCGGATCTGCTGTATCGATCTGAATGTATTTCATGTGCATGAATCTACACCAGAACAGTGGCTGTGGTTAACAGGGTTGCCTGGGTTCCCCAGGAAACTAGATTACTCAGATTTAGAGAACAAAACAAAATGAAATTTGTCAAGCTTCAGAAATGAAGGCAACAGGAGTGCAGTTGAGGAGAATCAGTTAAATAAGAGCTCAAAACAGAAAACAAGATTTTGGAGGAAATAAGACAATGGTTTTAGGCTGGGAAGAGGGCAGGCGTCATGGGGAAATGTTGACAGGGAGGGTGCTCCATTTTCTCTGCCTTACTTATGACTTACTTATAAACTTTTACCCTATTACCCTTGCTACTTGCAAAATTAGATGAACAAAGATTGGCTTTAGAATCAAGTGTCTGCCATGAGTTACTAGGAAGGGTAGAGCAGATAGGGGTTAGGGCAAGAAGGGGCATTTCTAAGGCCACAGCCAAAAGACAGTTCCAAGCCTCTTATTTCTGTGGCCATCTTCTCCACCAGACTGTAAGCTGCTTCTGGGATAGTGAAGTGGCTTTATTCTTCTCTAGTTCCAGCAGTGCTCTGTACATAGTAGGTGTTCAATAAACATCTGCTTAATAAATAAGGCAGGATGCTATTATAGAAACCAGTGAAGTTGGAAATGTTTTTCTCTTGAAAACTTATGGGGAAATAGTATTAATAAATTCCCAAAATGTCTTTAACTTGAATCCCCACAATAATGAAGGTACTTAAAAATGTTCTGATAATTGGATTTTTTCACATCAGTGATAGAGATCTGGCCTTTGACTCTCAAATATGGAATTATTGGGGAAGACATATTTATGTTTAACATATTTCAAAGAATAAAAAACTTACTGCCCAGCTGTATAATTTGAGGACCAAAGAAAATGATATGCTAAATTATGCTGAGTCATTCATATTTCATTTCTAATTGAGGTAAATAGACAGAAAAACACACACACTATGATTCTTTGAAGAAATTTTAATGAAATGTGGTTTTAAACTTTTTCATTTAGAACAGTGGTTCTCAGCCTTCCACACCAAGTCAATGATGAAATTTTAACCAAAGGAGAAATTGGAAAACAAGGCAATATGGTTACTTTTTTCAAAACCCAGGTTTATTCACTTTAATAAACCATTTCTTGTTCTAAGATGGTAAAATTGCGCTTGACTTTCTTTTTAGTATTCAAGTGTTCTCTCCTTTATGAAGAAGTGAAAGCAGATGATGGCAGGTTAAAAAGTGTTGAGTTGTCAAAAAATTGTCAGTGCCTTGTGTCAATCCCTAAAATGCTATTTGTTCACGAAATCCTAATGTCAAGGAAGTGCTTAAACACACACACACACACACACACACACACACACACACACACACACACACACCATCTAGTAGGGCACTGAAGGATTCAGAAGAGGCAGTTAAAAATGTATGTTTGTTGAGTTCAGCCACTGTATAGGCACTAAACTTTATACATACACAATTTCTCAGTAAATCTTTACAATTTCAGTTAGGTATTTTTAAATTACAGTTAAGTACCGTAAAAGGAAATTAATGTAGGATAAATAGCTTGCCCAAGGAATGTGCCAATAGAGGGAACCAAATCAAGTTTATATAATTCTAGAATCTGTGCTCTTTTCTAGAATACCACATCATTTATTATAGTGAGTCTCTCTAATACTCATTTTTGGGAAGAATATTGTTTAGTTTTTCTTTGTATACAACTTGACGCTATCTTTCAACTTCACTTTCTGACTTGTAACTTTGTACTGTATTTATATAGTGATGACAAACACTTTAAGACTCATCTTAAAAGTGTAGTATTATTCTCTTAAGCTGGCATCCTAATTATTCTTTGCTTTTTTTTGTTCAAGAAAGTACATAAAATCCATCTGGAAATAGTCATCTGGCAACATCCCAGTTATCTGCAGTTGAAATGACCAGCACCACAGCAGACTGCAAGTCCTCCTCAGGAAGAAGTCAGGGAAAGCTGAGCTGCCTCAAAGACCTATGGACATCAAGTTCTTTGAAATACTAGACCAATTCAGACCATGAGACCAAAAAAAAAAAAAAAAAAAGGACTGGTTAGAAAGCCAATGACATAACTACTCCATCTGTTGGATAAAGTACAGAAGAGTGAGCAGACAGAGATGGGAACAGGGAGTGAGGAGAGTGGAGAGGAGGGGAAAAAGTGAATATAACTGACAAGAGGAGGAACTCAGCACAGGGGTAAAACCTAGACAAACAATATTCAATTAGAACTAGAAAATCCAGACCACTCCAAGACCATGCTGATTAACAAGGTTATGATCATGGCTCCCCAGCTTCTTGCTTACACTTACATACTGCAAACAAATGTAGTAAAAACAGTTAAGCATATAGATAAACTCAGTGATGTTAATTTTAGAACCAGAATTAAATTTTCTTTTTTTCTCAGAGGTATGTAGCTAATGCACTATAATTTAGGGGTTTAGAATATGGCCTTCTGCTTGCTAAAAATCAAATTACAAAACAAGACTTTGTCTTGCATTTCTCAAATTATCAATGTCATCTGAAAATAAAGTCACATTTTTAGCAAGTGTTGGCAACCAACTTTTAATAAACTATTTAATTTTCAGAAACATATGCTAACCATCAATGACATAATCAGGGTACCATTGCCCCAGATGTTATTTCATTGGTACATTATATCAATATTTACAAAGGCTTTCAAGTTCAATAACACAAAACAAAACAGCTTAGTTTTTAAAACTACAATGTTTTAAAAAAATGTAAACAGTTCAATTTTACATTATTGTAAAAAAGAAGACTCACTCCTTAATGTGGCTTACTTTTTTTTTAAGTGAGCAAAGCCTGGTGCTCGTGGATAAAGAATGAAAAAAATTCTTTACATAGAAACATTGTGCTCCAGTGTGGCAAAAAAATTATATATATACGTACAAAGAAAAGAATCGTTAAGTCCACAATTTAGATCACAAATAAAATCTTGTCTCCAAATTGAGAAATTTATAAAAACCATTTACACATGGTTGTTGACCTACTGAAAACCTATATAACATTTTAAAACAATAACTCAGTCAAAAGATACCACTTTTCTTAAAAATTAAATCTTGTGCAAAAGAAATTGTTTAAGCTAGAAATAAGACTCCTTCCCCAGTAAGAGGCCAAAAGAGCCATTGAAATAATTTAACTTTGTTAAGATTTAGTGCATGTAACCAAAAGGCACACACATGGGATTAATATATTAATATATTTTCATGCAAAAACCTGTGCATGTTCACAATTATATAACAAAAACACAAATATAACAAATGTAAAGCCTAATATTTGGCAATGTTATTCTAGCCACATTCCTTTCTAGTCTATCAGTCCAGGATTTACTAGATCATTAACACTGCCTCTCAAAAAATATATTATATTTGAACATCTTCCAACAAAAATTAAAAAAAGGATGTTAGCCTAAAACACTATAATTTTTTTTCAATTCTGATACATATAGAAAGTTACTGATGTGTTTATTTAAATGGCATTTTCAAATTAAGATACATTTTTCTTTTTGTTAATAAATACTTTGATTGCTCCAGTGAAGTCAGCAGAGAGAAGAACTTCTGTATTATCTGTCTTCATAATACCTTAAAAACATAAAAAAATATTTTAATTGACTTAAAGGGATTATTAAGTCTGCTGTTAACAATTGTCACATGCCCATGACCTTTGGGGTAGAAGATCCTCTCTCTGCCTCTTCCATCTCTCTTTCCTGGCTCAATCCTGTAATCCTTTCCCTCCTGTACCACTCCTCTCTGCGGTTTACTTCCACTTACTGGGTCTTTCCCTGACTTAGGTAGATTACAGTCCCTTGGGGCCTGGAGGCCTGTATTTACTCCCAGGTAGCCCAGGCCTCTAACTTGTCTAATGCATCATTTTGTGGCAGGAGACTAGAGCTGGCAGGGAAGTCTATTGCTAACAGGGTTCTCTAATGAGGTTGATGGCAAGGTTTATTACACAGCAGAACACACTGCCATGATATGAAGTACATTTGTGAATGCTGACAGTACCTTTTCCCTTTACAGTCCATAATGAAGAGCTATGTAACTAGTGATGATGAATGGGAAAAATGCTTACCTCTTATATTACCTGCTATATTTAACAAACAAAATTCAGTGTAAACTAATTCTATTATGCATAGACAATATTTGTGGATTTAAGGACTGGATAGTAAGGAAGAAAATAATACAAACTTTAACTGGAAAGCTGTGTACAGGATGAGTTAGACAAAATGGTTTCACTCAGATTTGCTAAGAACATATCCTAAGCCTTTGAACATTCCTTCCTATCCTTGAGGCATATCTCAAAGTAGTGCTATGCAGCAGGAGCAGCAGCAAAGGACTTAGGGATATGAGAAAGGCTAGAGAAAAAAATAATTCATTATATACAATAATAATGAAGATTATAATGGTAATGTTGACATGCCAGGCTTTTACTAGGAACTTTATATATGTTATTTTCAACTCTTACCACAACTTTGTAAACTGAGTATTTTCATCATTTTACACACGAGGAAAACTGAAGCTTACATTGCCAAATATAACGGGAATAAAGAGAGAGTAATCAGATATAATTTATCATATCATACCTTGGGTTTAAGAATTTATTCTTAGAATATACCTAGACAGTTACAAACAACATACACAAATCTAACCATGATCCATTAAACGTTGTGTCTCTTTACAAATAAGTTCAAAGAACAGTACTTTTCATTTTTTTCTCAAATTATTTTAAAAGCTAGAATTTTCTGGGAAATGTGTAGGGGAGATGTATAGATTGTCAAAAGATAACTGGGGAAAAAGAAAAGGGGAAAAAAAACACACCCAAATGACTCATTAGATTAAAAAAATAAAATGAAAAGAAATATTTCCAAACAGGCACTTAATAAAGGTTTAATAATTCTGAGTCATTTTATTTTTAGATCCTATAATTTAAAAGAGTTCTAGACTGAAGTTCAGCTTTACTATCAATTTTTTTCTTAACAGACAGAAAAAAATAGTATATTTAGTATAGTGTACAGGGCAAATAACACCATAGGAGAAATAACGTTTAAGCATTCCAATACTTTTAGAAGCACCTTTTGTACACTGTATTGCTGTGGCTTTATAACTTTCTAAAAGGCCTGGTTGTAGTCTCTAAAGTGAGAAAACACATTTACTGACCTCTCCTGGTGATTTTAATAAAAACTCCTTTTCATTAACAACTGGTCCAAATTTACATGGTTTTATACTCTTAAGGACCACTTTTTACCTAATTTGCACTCAATATTAGACGATGGCTTCCTCTTACTTCCTAATCTGAGTGTTTTATTTAGCTAGAATTAGTACTTGTTCTGAAAGCATATGCTAAAAATGGCAAGAAATTACAGGCTTGTAAATAGCTACCTAAGAGAAACTATAAATTTGTGGCAAGTAGAAAAAAAACACTGCTTTCATTTTGGTTTAATTCATTTATTCAGCAAATGTTTATTAAGCAGCTACTATATACAGGCAAGCATTGTGCTAGGCACTGGCACAACAACAAATAAGATATATAAAGTCTCTGTCCTCACAGAAATTAGTCTAGTAGAAGAAAACAATACATTTTATACTTATATGCTTTTGTTTACGTTTCTCCAAGGAGAATAGTTGCCCATAGAAGAAATTAAGAACTTTCAAATTTTCATTTTTAATTCCCGGGTGATTTTAAAAAGAAGTAAAACTTGCAATAACTCTGTTACTGAAATGTTCAGAAATAGGTATCTTACAATCATTATGTTGTAAACAAAAACTGTTCTTCACAGTTATGAAAACTTCACAATACACAATATTAGGTCAATTAGGATACAAAATGTTGGTTAGATAAAAAGTAGGACAAGTACAATATGAGTACCTACCAGAAGTTACGGTATCTAAAACTTCAGCATCTTCACTTTCTGACTTTTCAGATTGCACATCCCAAGATAACATTAAACTTGGGTTAGGGGCAAAGATGGCCGATGTAACAACTGCATTATGTGCTGGGGGGAAAAAATTACTTCAGGATAACTAATAAATCCAATTCTAAACATCAAATCAGAGAATAAAATATGCAAAAATACAATAGTGTATGTTTCATGAAAATATCTTTTAAAACTAACATATAAGTAACTAAGAACTATTTTAAACCCAAATATATTTTCTAAAAGAAAATACCATATATAAGTTCTGAGAGTCCATGACTTCTCAGATTTTACTCATGTATAAATTCTTCTTTGGCATGGAAATATCCAACAAAGGCAAATACAAAGCGAAAGCATGTATATCAGCCTCTTTGAAATAATGTCTATACAAAGTTGCTTCTAGTACATCTGCACTTCAAATTTATTCACTTGAACTTTATTCACTTATAAAAGACACAAAAGTAGGCATTTACTTACCTTTAATACCTTCCCAAAAGTCATTACGATCTCTCCTGACTGAAGCAAACTTGCTTAGGTCGTGGTAAGTACTCCAGATATAAACATACTTATCTTCTGAGCCACTAACGAGGTAACTAAAATCATGGCTACATTTGGAGAAGAAAGAGAAACAAATACCTCAGTAAGTTTTTTAGGCTTCCCTCTATCAGAACTTCCTACTTTAAAACACCTAAGAAAACACCCAGAAGAATTTTGTTGAACTATATTCTTGTTCTAGAGGTTATGACAGTATAGGTTTGATTTGGGGGCCAGAAGCAGTAGTATGCATCAAAGCTCTATGTTACTATGCTACTGGCTAACCCACACTAGGAGGAAAGCCTCAAAAAATGAAAGAGAGAACCAGAGTATTTTACCAATTAATTTACTGGGTAATTACAATATTCCCCTTTTCCACAGAGGATATATTCCAAGACCTTCTGCGATTGCCTGAAACCACACATAATACCAAACCCCATATATCCTTTATTTTTCCTATACATATGGTCATGCACCAAATAACAATGTCTTGGTCAATGATGGGCCTCATATACCACAGTGGTCTCATAGATTATAATGGAGTGGAAGATTTCCTATCACCTAATGACATCACAGCGATTGAAGTGTCTTAGTTCAATACATTACTCACGTGTTTGTGATGTTAGTATAAAGAAACCAACTGTCCTGCCAGTCATATAAAAGTATAGTACATACAATTATATACAGTTCCTAATACTTGATAGTGATAAACGTTACTGAGTTATTATTTACAATACTATACATTATAACAATTTTAAGAGTGTACTTTTTCTACTTATAAAAAAAAGTTTGCTGTGAAACAGTATGCCATGTTACACTGGTAGCAGCTTCTTATATTTTGAGTTTATGGAGTTTCTTGATTACATCATTTTCTTGTGGACTTGATTTATTATCATGTTTTATAAATTTAGTGTAGCCTAAGAGTGCAGCATTTCTAAAGTCTACAGTAATGTCCTAGGCCTTCACATTCACTTACCACTCACTCATTGACTTACCCAGAGCAACTTTCAGTCCTGCAAGCTCCATTCATGGTAACTGCCTATACAGGTGCAGCATTTTTAAATCTTTTACACCATATTTTTAGTGTACCAATTCTATGTTTAGATACACAAATACTTACCACTGTGTTATAATTGCTTACAGTATCCAGTACAGTAACATGCTGTACAGGTTTGTGGCCCAAGGGCGATAGGTTATACCATATGGCCTAGTTGTGTACTGGATATATCATCTAGGTTTGTGTAAGTGAACTCAACAATGTTCCACAACAAGAAAATTGCCTAACAACACATTTCTGAGAATATATCCCCATTGTTAAGCAGTGCATGACTACAGATATCTATGATATAGTTTAATTTATAAACTAGGCATAGTAAAAGATAAATAACAACAGTAAAATAGAACAATTGTAACAACATACTGTAATAAGTTATGTGAATGTGATCTTGAAATGTTATGCGTATACACACATGGATATGCTGAGCAAAGAAATGATTCATATTTTTAGTGGGAAGGCACAGATTTTATCATGTTACCCTGAATGGTTCACAATTTAAAACTTATGAATTGTTTATTTCAATAATTTTCCTTTTAATATTTTTGGACTATGGCTCACCCTGGGTACCTAAAACGGTGGAAAGCAAAACTGTGGCTAAAGGGGGGGCTACTGTACCTGGTACTTACAGAAGCAAGAAGAACTTCTAAGGACTAAAAGAGAGTTAAAAAGAGGCAGGTAATTCAGAGTCTTCAGAGCCCTAAGAGTTCAAATGATAGTGATATGTAGAGCTGTAAATATAGGACACTGTATTTCAGGCTGTTAAAAGTTTTATTAGCTTCTGTACCTAAAAGGATCAAGATCATAGTGGGGTGGGTAGTAAACTACCTCTAAAAAAAACACAAAAACACATAAAGTACAAAAGCACAAATTCTAGAGCTAGGAGTCTTTTAATCCTGGCTCTGCCCTGACAAGTGCTGACTTTAGGCAAATTACTTAATTTACTGGGTTTTGGTTTCTTCATCTGTAGAATGGGGGCAATTCTAACTCTAAACACCATACAGGTAGACTGTAAGTATTGTATGATGATGACATGAGATACCAGTTGTAAAAGTGCAAAGAAACTAAAAACGTAATATGTAATATAGACATAAGGCCTAGTAGATCAATGGAAAACAGGAATGTGGGAGAAATGTTCTGATCTCTTTTGGGAATTTCTCATTGCCAATTTACCTGAAACTTGCTTTGATCTGGCTGCTGCTGTTGACATAACCCTTATACTTCATGGAAAGTGACAAATCTCTAAGATCATATAGTCTGATTCTGGAGTCATTTGAGGTTACCAGTATCTAAAAATAAATCAAGGGAAAAGTTAAATGTATAATCTTTTAATCTAAGGTATGCTATAATTTATAAAAAGGGTTTCTATACATACACAACTAGAAAAAGCAATACCCCATAAGAAAGGGAATATATTCTTAGCCAAGATATTAAGAACTAACTTTCAGGAACCTATACATAGTATGGAGAGATATGGTTTTGAATACTTAGTACCTTATTTTCTCCTGGTAAAGGCTCAATGCCAGTAATTTTTCTTCCAACCTTGTTGCGTCCTCTGGTAGATCGGACATGTATTTGTGTGTGGTATTTCAAATGCTAAAAAAAAAATCACATATATATAAAAGATCAGAAATAGAAGGAACCTCAAAGGTCATTTGAAAACTCACAGACATGGTAATATTTGCCCCAATCCTATATAATAAATAAAACCCTAATATGTAAATTGACTGAATGGCAGAACGACCAGTCACAATGACATACACTGACCACTAGGGGGCAGATGGTCAATGCAGGAGATGTCCCCTGGTGGTCAATGCGCTCCCACAGGGGGAGTGCTGCTCAGCCAGAAGCCAGGCTCATCACTGGCAAGCGCAGCGGCACTGATGGGAGTCTCTCCTGTCTCCACAGCAGTGCTAAGGACCCCTTGGGGTATGTCTGCCTGCTGGCTTAGGCCCGGGGAGAGGTCCCGGACTGAGAGAGGGTGCAGGCCGGGCTGAGGGATAATCCCCGCCCCCAGGTCACAAATATTGTGCACCAGACCTTTAGTTTACAGATAAGGCAGTTAAAATGCAGAGGGGATACAATAACTTATTCAAAACCACGAAAGTATTTTACTAAGAGTTCAATTAAATAATTTACATAAGATAGTCCTTTTACCTCTGTATCATAGAAAATGCACCTGCCATCATATGTCCCAATCACTGCATATTTGCCATTCTGACAGAAATTTGCAGCAGTGATCAATTTTGTTTGACCATCTACTTCATTCCACAAAGCCACTTTTTTGTCAGGTATATTCCAAAGGCGGAGCTTTCCATCCAATGACCCACTCAGAAAATACCTGTCATCCTAAAAATGTAACAAAATTTTAGAAAGCTTTCATTCTACCACATCAAGAAAACTCATTAAATCAATACATTAACTCTTATTAGAAATGTTTAAAATATGTAGATCTCATTTAAAAACTATTACATGCAGGAGGCAGTTAATCTCTCTCATCATTGATGTTTCTCTCTCTCCCTCTCCCTTCCTCTCTGAAATCAATAAAAATATATTAAAAAGTAACAACAATGAGAAAACACAGTATTGCCCTGGACAGAGTGGCTCAGTTGGTTGGAGTATCATTCTGTACACCAAAAGGTTACAGGTTTGATTCCTTGTTGAGGTGTGTAGGGGAGGCAACCGATCAATGTTTCTCACATTGATGTTTCTCTTTCTTTCTCTCAAAAAAAAAAAAAAAAAAAGAAAACACAGTATTTCACTTTAGAGAAATGACATTGTGATCACTTCATCATAACCTTAAACTGCTTTTCTCAAAGTATGGATATTAATAGGTAATATGTTAACATCTATATTATGTAGGAGAAGGTTCTGTGATCAAATTTGAAAAATTCTGGGTTACAGAAAATTAAACAAGATTCTCAGTTCAAAAAGGGGGATAAAGTAGGTAGCATTTTCCAGCTTATTTAATCAAAGACGTTTTTTATGGAGAGTTGGTATATGGTCAGGATAAGAACATTTAGCAGGGCTAGTACCTTCAAGAAACATGCTTTGGGAAAAACTATCCTATAATGATACATTTGCCCATAGCCTTCTCTGTGACACATGTTAACAACTGGATAAAAGAGTAATGCCCCACAGAACCAGCCAATTTTTGGTACTCTGATACCATATTACCAGAGAATCACTTCACTAATCAAATTTTCAATCATATTCTTAGTTTTAAACCAGGGGTTTTCAATTGGGGGTACTATGGCCCCATAGGGAACATATAGCAGTATCTTCAAACATTTTTTAAAGATATGTTTTTATTGACTCCAGAGAGAGAGGAAGGGAGAGGAAGATGGGGAGGGATAGAGAGAAACATCAATCAGCACCTAATTCACGCACCATGATAGGGAATTGAGTCCACAAACTGGGCATGAGCGCTAACTGGGAATTGAGCCAGTGACCCTTCAATGCATGGGACAACACTCAACCCACTGAACCATACCGATCAGGGCTGAAGCCACTTTTGATGGTCACAACTTGGTGGTGGGTGAGTGGGTGGGGTGCTACTGACATCTAGTAGGTAGAGGCCAGGAATGCTGCTAAACATTCTAGAATGCAAAAACAGCCTTCTCTCCAGCTAAAACCAAGAACCATCCAGCTCAAAATGTCAACAGAGCCAAGGCTGAAAAATCCTGCTCTGAAATAAAACCAGTCATATCATTAAGATGACTTAATTTTTGGTAACATAACAATTAAAGATAGTCCTAGCCTGTGTGGTTCAGTTGGTTGGAGGGTCATCCTATACACCAAAAGGTGGCGGGTTCAGGTCCTGCTCAGGGCACCAGGTGGAAGGCAACCAATCAATCGTTCTCTCCTCTCTCTCTCTCTCTCTCTCTCAGGGCACCAGGTGGAAGGCAACCAATCAATCGTTCTCTTCTCTCTCTCTCTCTCTCTCTCTCTCTCTCTCTCTCTCTCTCTCTCTCTCTCTCTCCATCTCTCTTCTCCCCCCCTCACTCCCTCGCTCCCTTCCCCCGTCCTTCTCTCTCCCTATCTCCCTCTATAACAATTGGGATGCCAAAACAAGAAACAGATTCTCTTCTCCCCTCAAGATTATTTCTTCTTACTCAGCTCTGAAGCCTGTTAAGGATAATCTACACAGGTTGGTTATTTAATGGCTATGGTATAGTAGGCTTGACTCAATGTCTACCAGTAGAAAAGCTTGGCCTTATTTTCAGATTTTTATTTACATACATACATATGTGTATATGTGCATATGTACCTCCATTTTGCTATTTCTTTTACAACTTCACTATCTTCCTTCCAGATAACATTTAATAGAGTTATACTTTCTAACAAAATGTCAATATCACCTCATTCTTCTCTAGAGCCTCCTAGAAACTCTCTAGGTCAGTAAACTCTTTAGAAATAGGGCTTTTCAGTTTTTAAAATAAAAAAAATAAAAGTATAGAAAAATTACCAACTAAATAGAAACTTTAGTAATAATGTACTACATAGATAACCTCTCTCTTTCCACTGCTACATTGTAATTAAAGTAGAGATACAGGAAAGGATTTTGCTCATAGTTGCTGAGAGGGGTAAATCCATCCTTTTATTGCAATATTGGACGACAGGTGGGGGTGTTATTTGAAAGAAGCCTTAACATGCTTGATGCTTATAGATGATAAGATATTTACTTAGATTTAACATTTTTAATTTCCAAAGTTCTTAACTAAATCTTTTAAGGGTTCAGAATTATTACAGCCTATGTTATAAGCTGCCCATGGAGGGAAACTATATTGAGGGAAACAAAATAGTCACTCTTCTCTCTTAATCTGGGGAAAAGGAGGAAGAAATGTGAATATAATTGAAACATTTCATTAAAAAGACAACAGTATGATCTTGGAAGGTGTGACTGAGTTAGCTAAAGCACCATCTTGGCATCATCCTCAGCACCAAAGGGTTGTAGGTTCAATTCTCGGTCAGGGCACATGATCGGGTTGTGAGTTTGATTCATGGTGGGAGTATGCATGAAATGCAACAGATTGACATTTCTTTTCTCCCTCTCCCTTCCTCTCTCTCTAGAATAAATGAAAAACATATCCTTAGGAGAAGATTAAGAAAAAAAAAAAAAAAAAGACAACAGAGTGGTGATGGCCAGAGGGAGAGAGTGCTGCTTGGGTAAAAGGGGGGGAATGAGGGATAACTGTAACAGTGTCAACAATAAAAATACAGTAAAAAACAACAGATGCTTAACATCCTATATAATAAAAGCCTAATATGCTAAGTGCCTGGTTGTCCATTCAACCAATCAAAGTGTAATATGCTAATGATATGCTAAGGCTGCTCAACCACTTGCTATGAAGTGCACTGACCACCAGGGATGAAGACAGTCAGCAGGTTGACTAGTTGCTATGACGTGCACTGACCACTAGGGGACAGACACTCCAATTGGTAGGTTAGCTTGCTGCTGGGATCTTGCCTATTGGGCCTGAGCGAGATGGGCTGGACATACCCTGGAGCCCTCCTGTGTTCCCTCCCTGGCTGGTCAACCTCCTGCATCCTTCCCTGGCCCCAATCGTGCACTGGTGGGGTCCCTCGGCCTCGCCTGTACCCTCTCGCAATCTGGAACCCTTGGAGAGATGTCAGAGAGCAGGTTTTGGTCCGATCCCCCAGGCCAGGCCAAGGGACCCCATTGGTGCATAAATTCGTGCACCAGGCCTCTAGTTGTAGAGATAAGGATGTGATTGGAAATTTAATCATACATCAACAAAGGAGAGGGAAAGTAATCATACATCAACTAGGGTCAGCTTAAGTCCTCCGTTTAATTCACCTCGTTAGTGAAGTAGAATCAACATACGACTTCCCTCATCTTCCTTAAAGTATAACAAAAAATGTATAAATTACTTACTCTTGGATGAAAAGCTATGGCAGTAACAAAATCTATATGCTGAAAACAGCAAAGGCATTCTCTTCTGGAAATATGCCATAACCTGACTGTTTTATCCATCGAAGAAGAGAGAAGAAAGTAGTTCTACGGAAAAATTGTGAATGATTATTTTATCGCCATATGAGAAAAACTACATATACAATAAAAATGAACTTTTAGTTTGTATGTGCCACAATAGTTTTGTTATTAGTATTCTTATACACAGCAGCAGATATAACAAAAGATTATTTAATTCATTTGGAAGATTCCATTTTTCTGAAATAGTTAAATATCATATTTCTTAGACTCTAAGATTTTTTTTCACATTACCTATTCTGGAATTATATTGAAACTTAGCTAGGACTATAAGGCATCTACTCGTTTAATTATCACTTCAGTTCAGTTACTTTCACATTGACAACACAGATGAATTTTAACTTACATAGACTCCCTGTCATTTAAAATGCCTTAAAAAATATTACCCTATAATGCAGCATGGAAATGAAAAGTTACTGTGTATCTGTCACACTGTAGGCAAGAAAATTAGAGAATAGAAATTGTCAAATCTTTTAGAATAGGTCACAGAATTTTTAAAGCTAGAAGAGGTTAACATAATTGATTTAGGCATTGTGAAGGCCCATAATGCAGGAACCAAACATCTATCTGTCAAAGACTTCCAACTATCAGAGTTCTTTAATTTCTAAACACAAGCTATTTAAGAGGAGAACAACAAGTTATACTGAATGTGAAAACCACATTGAGATCCTAATATTCTTTGGTTTACATAAAAGTGCTAAAGAAATTGAAGTAATGATGACAGTTAATGAGTATTTACAGTGTGCTGAACATTGTTCTTAGCACTATAATGCAACCCTACAAAGTAGTTATATGATTATCCTCTTTTACAAAGGAGAACACTGAGGCAAAGAGGTTAAATAATTTGTATACACAACTTGTCAGTGGCAGAGTGGGTAGTCTGGCTCTAACCACTACACTATTCTGTAGAGTGCTTGAGTAGAACACATGTTATGGAAAACTACCAGGTGCTTTGTCACTTATTTAAAGCAACGAAATAATCTTACATCTTTAAATGTAGAAAGACTAAGCATAAATATTGATTTGGATATGTAAATGTATTGATACATATATGCTCTTTGGGCTAGTTTATAAGGTATGCATTCTATGTGGTTTACCTACTTTCATATTGATGGTGTATATTGAAAAAAAAAAACACACCTTTTAAAACATAAAAAAACAAACAGAAAACAAACAATAGAAAAAAAAAAACCCAGAATTTTGAAAGATTTATAATAACTTTAAAAATATAATATTATAACAGCCCCAGCTGGTGTGGTTCAGTTGGCTGGGCATTGTCCCATGTACTGAAAGGTTGCTGGTACCATTCCTGGTCATGGCACATGTCTGGGTTGTGGGCTCCATCCCTGGTAGAGGGGGCATGCAAGAGGCAATGGATTGATGTTTCGCTCTCACATCTGTTTCTATCCTCTCACTCTCTCTCAAAAATAAACTTTAAAAGTCTTAAAAAATCTAATAACAATTATTTTTAATTTCAAGATCTACTTAGTTCCGGAAATCTTTGAAGAGTATGTGCAGTTTATGTTATTTCCTATTAATAACAACTATATAAAAACTGAACTTATATGCCCTAGCTGGTTCCTCAGTGGTTAGTGTCAGCCCGAGGACTGAAGGGTCTTGGGTTTGATTCCGGTCAAGGGAACATATCTAGATTGTAGACTTGATCCCAGCTCTGTTTGGGGCGTGCGCAGGAGGCAACCCAATTGATGTCTCTCTCTCACATGGATGTTTCTCTGTCTCTTTCCCTCTTTCTACTCTCTCTAAAAGTCAATAGAAAGGAGGAAAGAGAAAGAGAAACAACAACAACAACAAAACAATAAAAGCAAAAACAAAACAATAACAAAAACTATGGACCTTTGTTCACTAAAACTAACTTTATTCAATGCTTGCAATAGTCCATTGCTTGAGGAATATGAAAATATAAAGACAACCCTGGAAGTGAAGATGCTAAAGACATGTTAAGATTAGCTCTAATATGCCAAGAGATTTCTGTTCAATAAGTACTCATTGAATAAGTAAAGTTAAGTAATTTTCTTAAACTAAGTATAATCTTGGGAGTAAAAGAAATTAGATTTACATCTAAGTTGTAACTATAACTAATTTTGTGATCCTGGATAGGTCAGAGGCCAAGTCTTCTAATCTACAAAATGAACTATTATGTACCTCACAGAGTTATCGTTATAAGAACTAATAAGGTAATTATTGTTACCTGGTACAAAATAAGTCTTCAATAAGAAGAAAACCCACTGTAAACACCAATTATACTAGATACTGAAGAAAAACAATAGTAAAATAAGATCTGTTTCTTATTCTTGAGGGGCTTAGAATCTAGTTAAGTAAAAAAGAAAGTTTACTCGCCTTCCCCCACAATTGTGTGAGTCAATTCCTTAAAATAAATCTCCTTATGTATGTACATGCTCTTGGTTGTATTACTCTGGAGAACCCTGACTGATACAGTGGTCAATGCAGAACTAATATTTCCCAGTTAGTGTGACATTACAGGAAAAAATATTTGTTTGCTTTAACGAAGTAAAATGAGTGCAAGGTTCCTGATTATGTGCTTTGTAATTTTTGCTCCAGATGAATATGATTATCAGATTAAGGACATTTTAGATTTCCATCTGCTGACAACTCAGCCAGATTTCACACAGGGTAGGGAAGGGGTACAAAGTCACAATTAGAGTCCAGTTTAAAACCGAGGCCTCTTGTTCCAGGAGGTTAGAGAAAGATATTACAACTGATGGGTTATGAAAAGTATCCAGATATCTAAAGTATGGCAGGGGCAGCAATTCATAAATGGTGTGCTTCGAAGCTGGAGCTCAGAGAAACTACGACTAGTCAATATATATAAGCATTATCTTTGTGGGACATGAGGTTCTCTTGACATATTTAAAATATATGGACATCACTTGTATCTCTGAAAGCATTTTGTTAACTCAGTTGACTTAATTTAAGGTTTTTAAATATTATACCCTTCTGAATTTTTAATATTTTTGATTCTGATTACTGACAAATTTCAATACAGATAAAATCAAAGCTATCATGCAAAATTCAAAGGCTGTTTCCTGCTTCAAAGAACTTAAATCAAATTTAAAATCTCTCTTTAAATGTTCACAAAACTGCAAAAATATTGGTAAATGGCAAAACAGAACCTCTACTTCTGGAATAATTTTGTTCTAAGAGGGAAAAAAAATCACACAACTAAGATTTATCATTGATTCATGGAATATAACTGTTAAAACTGAATTAATAATTTCACAAATGTGGTAGATTAACCCAAGGCAGGCTTGATTAGATAGATCAGATTTCACCTTTATAGTTGAAGTCATATCCATTTTGCTGAGGATACTTTGCAAAATTATAAGAGGAAAAAGATACAGTATATAAACAGATCCAAATAGAAGTGTCAAGTAATAGAAACACTTTCTTATGAGCCTAATGTGAGATCATTTTTAAATTAAATTAATTTGTACATAAAGCCCACACAGTATATATAAACATTTAAATACTTAACAGTGAGACAATCATAGAAATAAAGCATTTGTTTTATCCTATAGTCATAGTTACACAGAATAAAAATTTCCTACTTTCGACCATGAAAGATCAAGGAGATCAGCAGTATGTCCTTTATATTTGCAAAATGGCCGTTGTCGAAAAGGTGCATTTTTATCATCAGGGTCTTCATCAGTTCCACTGCATACCTATTTAGACAAAGACAAATATTAAAACCAGCAAAAGAAAAGTTTCCCACTCTATCTGTTCTCTCATCATTTTATATGATGCTTGATTGAAATCTTGATTCACCAAAAGCAAACCACCATTTATGCTAAATCTGTTACTTATCATTTCTTTACCTCCTTGACCTAACAAATAACAAACCAGGATCATTAACTTAAGAACGTCGTGCTATCATAATCTTTTCCCTCCCTAACAGAGTCTGTACTTTGTCTTTTTCTGAGCAGCTGTTACTTCATGGGAGGTAGGAGCCAGCACCAAAGGGTGATCATGATCAGTTTAAGGTAATCAAGACAAACTCATCCCTTTCCCAGTGATGACAGGTTTAGGAATGGGCACATACTACAATTTCCATCCTTAGACATAAGGGAAAATTTATTGTGGAAGGAGTAGGAGGGGGGTCTAAAATGATTTTCTCGTTCTTAAAAAGGACATATGAAAAGACACCTTCCCTTTCTCTGCCTCCAAACATTGTTATTTGCATAGGACACCTGAGAGTGTAGTAACCACTGGGAGGTCTATGAAGGAAACCAACCCAAGAGAGCAGATAAAGAATAGCAAAGCAGGAAGATGGTAGGATCCTGTGACCCTGATGATACTACTGGGCTGCTGAATTAGCCACTCCTGGTACTGTTTTACCTCCAGACTTGCTTCCTCATTGTTTAAGCCATTTTCAGTTGGATTTCTGTTATTTGAAGTCAAAAGCATCCTGACAGAGGTAGATTAATAATGATGCCATTCTTCTGTGCAGTGAATTTAATTTACAACATGCTTTTATATTCATTATCTGAATGAATTCTAACAACTCTAAGAGTTGGGTATTAATATTATGAAGATAGAGAGATTGAGATAAAAATCAAGGCTCAAAGAGGTTAAAATAATATATTAAAGGTAACATGGCCACCTGCAAACAGCAGAACCAAAGCAGAAATATAGTGATTTAACATCAAGTTCAGAGGTTGTTCTTTAAATGTTTTAAAGTAGGGTTCGCCAACTGGTGGTCTGTGGACCACTGGTGATCTGTGAGATCCGAAAGATTGGCGACTACTGTTTAAGAGAATGTTAGCATGAGCAAAAATATGGAGTGTCAGCTAAGCCTTGAATATTTAGGAAAGGATAGGTAGGATGATGAGGATGGAGGAAAAAAATGTGGAGATATAGTAGGGGATTAGGGTAGAAAGGTACTTTGAGACCAGATTATAAAGAGCCTTAAATTTGTGGCTTAGAAAGTTAGGCATTCTTTTTTTTAATTTTAAAAATTAATTTGAGGGGGTGGAAGGATGGAGGGGAGGAGAGAAGAAGGGGGGAAGGGGAGAGAGAGAGAGAGAGAGAGAGAGAGAGAGAGAGAGAGAGAGAGAGAGAGAGAGAGAGAGAGAGAGAGAGAGAGAGAGAGAGAGAGACCTATTTGTTATTCCACCCATTCATACATTCATTGGTTGATTCTTGCATGTGCTTTGACTGGGGATTTAACCTACAACCTTGGCATATCATGACGATACTCTAACCAACTGAGCTACCTGGCTAGGGTAAAAGTTCAGACATTCTAATGCAATGGAGAAAAAACACAAGGTTCTGGAAATAAAAACTAGCATGATCTGACTGTTGCTTTAGAAAGAGAATGCTATTGTATAACAGATCATTTGAAGAAAGAAAACGGAGGCAAGAAGAGCAGTCAGTAAGTTTAAGTAAGAATAATGAGGGCTTGACTGTGGTGTGAAAGGACTGTTAGCAGGACCATCACCACCACCACAAACTCCTGATTACAAATGGCAGCTCTGAGTAAAGTCTCATAAATTTAGAACAACAACAACAAAAAAAGAATAACGAGAGCTTGAACTAGGATAGTGGGCATGGGGATATATTAAAAACTACCAATATTATTTGTCTAAAACTTTACAGTTAATAAATGCCTATAGCTACTTCCCCTAATTTTGCTGCTAGCCCAGGGAAAAATTGCTAAAAGACATAAAATTAAACAGGCTTGCCTAATTAACATCAAATTCATCCTTTGTTTTAATAATAATTTACATTTCATTAACTCCTTAACATATTTCCTTTAGCAGTGATTCCAGATACCTTTTTCCCCCTCCATAAATATCCATTTTCTTCTCCCTATACTCTACATTTTCCCCTAAATACTTAATGTTTTTCAGATTATAAAGTAATATATGCTCAGTGTAGAAAATTCAGAAAAAAAGCCAGAAAGTAGGAAAATTAAAACTAAAACCACCGTATGATCTAACATTTTGATAATTTTCATTCTTCCTTTTATCATACCACTAGAGGCCAGATGCATAAAATTTATGCAAGAATAGGCCTTCCTTCCCCTGGCTGCCAGCCCAGGCTTCCCTCTGACACCGGGGACCCAACCTTCTCCCCAGCTGCTGGCCCCCAGGACCTGGGATTCCCTTGCAGAGGGAGGCCCCGCCCACCCACCACAGCCTGCGGGTCAGGGGCCTGGGCCTTCCCTCTTTGGGGCAATCATGGAGCCCCCTGATTGATCACCCCAGCAGCCAGTGGTCTGGGCCTCCCTCTGCAGGGTGATTATGGGGTGATGGCTGGGCTCCCAACCAACTGCACTGCACCTGCCTTAGCTGGCCTGGTGCCAGTGGGTGTCATAGCATGTTCCTGGATGGTCATTCCACTGTTTGACTGTTTGATCAATTTGCATATTATGCCTTTATTATATAGGATGAGTGTTTTCTATATTCCACTCTTACAAAACATGTATTAGCTACATATGAATGCACCATAACTTAATCGTTCTCCAATATGTTGGTCATTCAAACATTTCCTTTTTTTTTTTTTTTTTTACTAATATAAAAAGCAATTCATTGAACAATCTGGAACATGAATCTTTATTCCTCTTTGATTAAAAAAACACACCCTAATATACATAGTCAAAAGATTTAAATTGGAGACTTTTATTTATAGCATATTCTGTTATCTGTTTTAATAAAAGCAGGTAAGCTTAAATATTTTTCAGAAATTCAGAATGAAGTATCAAATAAAAATGACTGAAAACCCTACCACCTAGAGATAATTGCAAGTAATAATTTAGTGAGTTTCCTTTAAGCTTTTTAATATATATTCATAGATATTTTGGGCAAAATTGGGATAATATTGTATCCAATTTTTCATTGTTTTTTTTTCATTTTACATTTTAATTAGAATATTTTTAATGTCACTACATAATCTTTGAAAACAATTTAAGGATAGAATAATATTCTATTTGTGGGCTATCACATAGATTTTATTTTCCAAGTGTTAAAAATTTAGCTTGTTCATATTTTAGCTATTGTGAGAACACTAAGATGAAAATCTTTTTATTTACATCTTTGCACATATTTGATTCTTTTAAAAAATATTTTTATTGATTTCAGAGAGGAAGGGGGAGGGAGAGAGAGATAGAAACATCAATGATGAGAGAGAATCATCAATCAGCTGCCTCCTGCATGCCCCACACTGGAGATCAAGCCTGCATCTCAGGCATGTGCCCTGACTGAGAATCAAACCGTTACCTCCTGGTTCATAGGTTGATGCTCAACTACTGAGCCAAGCCAGATTGGCTGATTATTTCTTTATAATAGATTTTTAAAGGTAGAATTATTAAAGATAGAATTACTAAATGAAATGTATTTTTTCTAATCTATATATCTCTCTAAATAGATATCTATATCAAGGAAGATATTTATATCTCTACATAAGTATATATTTATGTATGTAAATGTTTGTAACAGACATTTCAAACTTACATAGAGTAGAGAGAGAATATAGTAAAAAGTATAATGAACCCCAAACATCTATGACTTACTTTAACAATCATCAACATTTTGTTTTTATCAATCTTCCCAACTTTATGTATTTGTTTACTTTTGCTAGAACATCTAAAGCAAGAGCTGAATACCATTTACCTCAATACAATACTCTATAAGTATCTCTAACTAATAAGCTCTCTTCCTACCTAATAAAAGAACAATATGCAAATTAACCATCACTCTGCTCAAGCCACGCCCACCAGCCAATCAGAGCGAGTATGCAAATAAATCCAACCAAGATGGCTACCGGCCATGGAGAGCAGTTGAGAGGCTTGGGTTTCCCAGGCAATAGAGGAAGCCAAGCTTTCCACACACCCTGGCTGGCTTAGGCCTCCAATCCAGGCTACAAAGTTTCAATTATAGAAGATACATAAAACCAAACAGAAATGGCGGCAGCCACAGAGCGAGCAGGGGGCTTCGCTCTGCTCCAGGACACAAAGTTTCAATTGTAGAAGGTAAATAAGCCCCAGATACCAGGGTCTCCGCTTGGGTCACTGGGGGGCGTGGCTGGCCTGCAAACCACCACAGGGCCCTCGCTCAGGCCACCCCACACCTCAAGGGAACCCCCACCCTAATCTGGGACACACTTTAGGGCAAACCAGCTGGCCCCCACCCAGGTCTCTATCCTATCTAATAAAAGAGTAATATGCAGATTAACCATCACTCCAACACAAAATATGGCTGCCCCCATGTGATCAAAGATCCTGCCCCCATGTGGACACAAGATGGCCACCACAAGATGGCCAGCAGGGGAGGGCAGTTGGGAGGCACCAGGCCTGCAAGGGAGGGCAGTTGGGAGGGACCAGGTCTGCAAGGGAGGGCAGTTAGGGGTGGCCAGGCTGGCAGAGGAGGGAAGTTGGGGGAAAACAGGCTGGCAGGGGAGCAGTTAGACATCAATCAGGTTGGCATGGGAGTGTTCAGGGGGTGATCAGGCTGGCAGGTAGAAGTGGTTAGAGGCAATCAGGAAGGCAGGCAGGCGAGCAGTTGAGAGCCAGTAGTCCTGGATTGTGAGAGGGATGTCTCACCAGGATCGGGGTCTAAACGGACAGTTTAACATCCCTCAAGGGGCTCCAGAATGGAAAGTGTGCAGGCTGGGCTGAGGGACACCCCCTCACCCTGTGCACAAATTTTGTGCACCAGGCCTCTAG